TTTCAAAAATTCTGTGGAAATCGCAACATACAAGAAACTAGAGACCGAATATGGCAAGTGGACCTGGAGCCTTCGCAGTGGCATGCTGGAAATTGAACAAAAGCTGCTCAACAAGATAGAAAATGAAGCAATTAACAATGTTGAGGAAACTGATCTTCTGACTGATCTAAAAGCAAAAAGTGAAGAAGTGAAAAAGAAAATGTCTGAATTCTTTACAAAAGACAAAGATGCAAACACACTGAATCAGTGGAAATGTTCAACTGAGATCAAAATCAAAGAGCTTCAAGAAAACATTGTCAAAGAAACTATGAGGAAATTAAATGGGGTTCTTCAGCAGCGTCACCTGAAGAAAAACATAGGTATTGAGAGGACACGTCATGAAAATATACTCTTTGAAAAAAGCAAAGAGCTTGCATTAAAATGGAAAGACAAAGCAACTGATGAAAAAACCATGAGAACACAGTTTGATTCCTTCTGGAGACAACAGACCACTGCAATCATTAGTGAAACACCTTTCCCCAAATATATTGACATAATAGGAGATGCGAAAAAGCTCCTCAATTTAGATTGTATGGGAGACAGAAGTAAACAAAAAGATCTTTTCTCTTTGCCAAGCTATTCAGAATATGTAAAGCTGAAAAATCCCAGTGGGTTGAAAGAAAATATAAAAAATTTGTGTAATAAAGCTATAAGGAAGGTAAATCATCTAGCTACAGAGGAAGAACTTCAGATAAAAAACCTAATCTCAGACATTGCTGATCAGACCAATGAAATGATTCAGTTGTTTAACATTGCAAAGATGGGCTACAACATCACCTACATTCAACAACTCAAAGATAACATAAAGACAATGTTAGAGCAACATGAAACAAGGCCAGACGTGAATTATGTGTTCAAGAAAAAGTTCTCCATCGATCTGGTGCTTTGCGTATGCCAAAGATCAAGCAAGACATTCACTGACCAATACCAAATGTTTAGGGAAGCCAATGATCCTGTTCTCTATTTTGAGAGGAAGAGTGAAGAGTACTACAGAATCTTCCAGAAATACTGTAAAGGAGCTTCATCAACTGCAGTTTTTGGTCAGTTTGTTTGTAATAAACTCAAAGAGCCCATTATGCAGAGCGTCTACAAAACAACTGCCAGAGCTTTAGCAGATGAAATGAGGACAAACTGTGAAGCACTGAATGGAAACAGATCAAACCTGGAGAAACACATCCTGAAGACCCTGGCAGAAAAGCAGGATTTTGATGCTTTCATGAGATACATCAACAATCCCAAAGATCATTTTAAGAGTTTTATCAGAGATGAAGTCAATCAGTACATTACTGAAAGATTTAAGGAAAGTGTTCGACCCAAGATGGAAAACAGCATTAAACTGCTGCAGCAACAGATAATGAATGGAGTTCAGGAGTCTTTCAAACATGTTGAAGAGAACAATGGGGATACTAATTTGTGGTTGCATCTTTTCACTCAACAGCTCTCCGGTGTGCTGGTATTCTCTGAAAGTGACCTCACTGAAGTGAATCAGGATGGTGTTGATGTCAGTTTCCTAGAAGATGTGATGGTGAAAGAGCTTCCCTCTATAATGTCTGACATTTGCAAATTCAGTCCTAAAACTTTTATGGAAAATCTTGAACCCACAGACAGACCAGACGAGATTCTGAATTCTCACCTCTGTCAGTGCTGTTGGGTTCAGTGTCCTTTCTGTGCCGCCATCTGCACAAACACCATAGAAGACCATGATGGAGATCACAGCGTTCCTTTCCATCGTAATAATGGACTGAATGGATGGAGCTACAGAGGAACAACAAACCTGTCTATCAACATCTGCACATCAGCAGTGGCCAGTGATGGATCTTTTTACCCAAACAGCTCAGATGATACAGTCCTCTGGAAGGAATACAGAAAAGGAGGTCCTAAGTATGCCTCATGGAGCATCACCCCAGATCTCTCAGAGCTGCCCTATTGGAAGTGGTTTGTGTGCAAATTCCAACAAGATCTGGAAAAGCACTATGAAAAAACCTATGATGGGAGTGGTAAAATTCCAGATGAATGGAGAAAACACACTCAAGAGGATGCTGTTGAGAGTCTGAATAAATACATTTAATAGAACAACATCCAAGACTCTCATACAGAGAGACAATAACTTCCATAGTCTCTGTACATACAGCTGTACATGTACAAGCTATGAGCAATTAAGTGCGACTAGAAGCATGTAGAAGTAAAAAACTGCTTATAAAGACTGATGACTTCCCTGATTTAGAATAGATTCAAATCAAAACAGTAAGTTCACATGAACTGAACCATGTCGAGTCAGCAAGAATATGTTCATACCAAATAAAACAAACTCTTGCCAAGAAACAGACATTTACACAAAAAGCTAAAAAAAAAAAAAAATTTTTTTTTGTCATTTTTCTAGTCTAAATATTATTAGTCTAGTCTTAATATGACATAAAATGTAGCTTTAAAGAATGGTTTGATTTTTTTTTTTTTGGCCTGATTCAGAACTTACACGAAGGACATGCAGTGCTTTGTTCAGTAAGTTAACAATGGGTAAAAATGATTGTGATGTACAAATAAAAAAGTGGTTTTAGCTAACGGTGAACAGGATCACCAATTCAGAATCAAAAATGTCAAGTTTACAGAATCTCAATTGTTTGAAAAGATTTATTCTTTATACTGATTTATTGTTTACTGATTTATTATTATGTATTTTTTCCATTGCGTATTACTTTAATGAGTTGATGAGTCCTAAGAACCAAACAACTGATCATTCATAAAGAACTACATATTTAACTATCCCTAATCGTATTTCTTGTTAATAATAAATATTATAATAAGTAAAAGAAACTGTCCGTAGTGTATGTGTGTGAATGAGTGTGTGTGGATGTTTTCCAGAGATGGGTTGCGGCTGGAAGGGCATCCGCTGTGTTAAAAACGTGCTGGATAAGTTGGCGGTTCATTCTGCTGTGGCAACCCCGGATTATTAAAGGGACTTAGCCGAAAAGAAAATGAATTAATGAATTAGGACAGCATATGAAAGCCTAGGTATTTTGTAACAGTTTGAAATAAATGGATAATTTATCTCAATGCCAACAATACAGGCAGGGCCGGATTATCCTATGGGCGTTATGGGCACAGGCCCAGGGCACTTAAGGGCTCCTGGGAGGGGGGGGTACAAAGCAGATTTTGTAGTGTCTATTTAGGCTAAGTGCAAATATTGCACCTCGTTGGATTGAGCTAGTTGAGTGATTTCCGCCCATCACTGTTTGATTGACAGAGACAACAGAACTAAAAAGAGCAGCAATCAGCAGTGTGAGTGGTGTAGCTCGTAAAGCGCATGACAACATGTTTTGACGCAATCGATCCCGGTTCGAATCCAGCATCGAATCCAGCCCCCTACTACATATCAGATTTTGCCTACTCTTCATTACGAGGAAGACTAGTTGGAATCATCAATAAGTGTGTGTATTATAGAAGACTCAGATTCATAGAACTGGATTGGAGAGGTGTTCTATCCAAATCATATGCATTATAAGATTGTAGAAGTTGTACATTAAAAATACCCTTAAATAGAATTGTCAGTGAACCTGAACAAGTAAATTAAAATCCATAAATTTTCACTGTTGTATTAGTATATTTTTTTTCAAAGTGTGCTTTAAATGCTTTAAAAATAAGTTTAATCTCTGTAGACTAGAAATATATGTACTGTATATCATTTATTTAAATAATGCGGGCAATACATTATAGATTAATTTTGTTTAAAAATATTATATTAGTATTATTTGTTAATTCAACTTTAGGGGTGCGGGTCCAGATAGGGAGCCTACAAGACATTGTGTCCAGGGGCCTCTGAATTCATAACCCAGGCCTGAATACAGGAGAGATTAAACTAATATAACTAAACAATTAAAACCAGTGAAAAGACTTAAGAACATCTGTAAATGTAATTATTCATAAAGAAAAAATCAAATCACACACGTGTTTCACAGCAGGTGCACCAGATTAGTCGATCATTACTTAGCATTTTGAAAGTGTCTTGACCTTTCTACCTCGGACGTTTATTGTGCCAAACTCCTTGTTGTTTGAGAGTCATTACCATGGGGAGAGTAAGTTATCTGAGGACTTCAGAACGAGTGTGATGATAAGGGATTTAAAAAGATGTTGAAATCAAGCATTCAACTGTCCATAAAAAAACTCTTCAAGCGGAGGACTTTCAGAACAAATGCCAAGAGTGCAAGGGTAGGGTGTATTAACCTTTTCTCAATTACACTCAACTATAAAGGTACACTAGGGGTGGCACGTAAAGACTTTTCTTAAGTATTAATTGTTTAGTTATATTACTTTAACTTCTCAGTATTGGTAACATTAAGGTAAATACCCATATATTCAGCAATAATAAAATACCAGGGCTTTCAATGGGTGTCCTAATATTTTTTACATGACTGTAAATAATATCATGTAGAATACAAATCCAGGGAAGTGACTTTGAATATAGTTATATAAACTAATTTTAAACAAGTTTTCTATACTACACCACAGTTCACTGTAGTAAAAACTAAAGTATGCTATACTACACTACAGCATTTATTTTATTTTATCAGTTTAATATTACAGTATGGTAGCCCATTCATTAACAAAGAGTTGTAAACACTGTGATATACTGTATATAGTTTAATACACTATATACATTATAGTGTATTAATTATAGTGTATTAATATTATATTATATATATATTATATTATATATACAATTATATTATATATACAATATTATATTATATTATATATACAATATATATAATACATACTACAGCATGATTATACTATAGTATTTACTATAAATGTCTATAGTTTTGATAACAATAATAACACCACGCAGAGTGAACTGGAGGGTTAGTAGTCCTGTGTCTCCCTCTGGTGGCGTGTGTGCGTGTATGTGTGGCGTATTTGTGGGCGGGGTAGTAAATCAAAGAAAGCCCTTGTCATGTGATGTCGAGTCGCGTGAGTGGTAAAGAAGACGAGTCTGACACATCTTCAAGTAAAACTCCTATTAAATAATACTGACTTTTTTTCCACCTGAGATACCGCAGATGATACTCTTGGTTATAGCTACGTGCTGTATTGGTAAGTTTTTGGACTAGCTTGATCAGTTTTCTTTTAAACTCTTTTATCTTTTGCATTGCATGACTGGTGTAATGTTATTGTAAATTAACGGTGCACAATCTCTGTTTCAGGCATTGCTGGTGCTGCTGCTTTTGCAACACCTGCTTTTGAAGACAATAAAGATGAAGAGATTGAGTCGCTAAAAGTGTGTGAAGAACAAAACATCAGCTTCTCCGTTCAGATCGAGACCTCAGAGGAAGATCCGCAGGTATTTGTGACTCTCCTCTGTAACTCTTCATCACTGGAGATGGTAGCTCAGTTAAACTGCATTAAAGGAGAGTGTTCACGCCAATGCTGGAGATCTGAAGATTCACTCATGTTTGACGGACAAAATATGACGCTGATCCTGATAAACGTCACATACAGCCGAGCTGGAGTTTATAAAGTCAGTAAACTCAGCAGCACACAGGAGGAAAACAAGATGTACAATCTCACCGTGTTCAGCAAGTCTCACACAGGTATGTGTCGGGTTTAATAATATGATGAAATGCTTGCGGTGGTTGCATCATCATTGAGGTTGGTTTTATATTCGCGCGTTCGCTTAGTGACAATTGATAACTATATGCTGCTACCTGTTGTATACCATGCTACTATGAATATTGGGTCTGAAATGGCATGAATGCATGACTTTAAAACAACATTAGCACTATTAAACTGACTGAAGATTGTTGTATTTTTGATAGTCATTGGCTGCCAATATGATTTACCTTTTATCATTTAATAACAATACTTTTCTAACTACAGGTCTGAATGTGCGAATAAAGCAACTATTGCATCATCTATGGCAAAACAGGCCTATGCAAAAAAAAAAATATGTTGCAAGCCTTTTAGCTATTAATTTATTTTAAATCGAGTTATTAGTGAGGCATTAAAAAGTGCATCTGTAAGCTGAATTGTGTTTTAAATTAATGCAATGAGCATTTATTTCTATTTTGGTATCTATGCTATTTAAAAGTACGCCCATTTAGACGCAGAAGTAGAAAAACTTTATGAATGAACATTATTGAATAATTGAACTCTGTTAACCTCTCGACAGGATGCGTGTTGCGTCATTAAGTGGCGTGAGGGGTATGACCATTTTTGAAGCTGACGTTTTTAAAGTTGTTAAGGAATGCTATAAAACTTATCAACAAATTAAAGAAATGTGTTCATTGGTGATGACTGTCACGATAAACTTGATGATGTTGGATAGACATTGATTTATGATGCTCATTGACCAAGACCGACTGATGCATATCATATGGGAGCTTTTAAAAAAATTTAATTATTATTTTTTTATATAAATTTCGTCATGCAAAGAGCTTTTATCTTTGAAGCAATAATAACGCAACCCATTACAAAGTATTCACATTTAGCTGTAGAAGGCTAACTTTATGAATGAATGACTGAACTCGGGTAACCTCTGTATGATGTCATGATGTTGTATCACGTGGCGTGAGGCGGATTGACAGTGAACACGTACTGTACTTCAAACTAATCATTTCAAGTTGTGTAGTTTAGGAATGTTGTATACAACACAAATAGTTTATTCCAGCATTTATTTTGTGCTAGTTAGACATGATTGTCACGACGTATCTATTTGGAAAATAAAATGGTTTGTCTGATTTATGATGGTGTTTGCATGAGGGTCACCAATACTGATTTAAAACAATTGCATCATTTATTTGATTTTTTAAAATATGTTTACTGTATTAAATTAAAATATATTTTTTGGTTTTAATTTTTCCTTCATGTAACTCAAAATGATATTATTGAAAAAAAAAATATCCTGATCATATATGAAAATGTCTTAAAAATAAATTGAAGTATATCTGAAACTTGTGTAAGAATGAAACCAAAATGATTCAGAGATAATATCTACGGAGAATCCTGCTGCTGGAGCTCTCTAACCAAATATAATGCATTAGATTATTGTGATGTAATGCATGAGATAACCTTAAAAAATTAAATGATTAATCGAGATTTGTGCCTTTTGCTGTGAAATGACATCTGACAGAAGAGGACTCCGCCTGCCATTAAAGCCTTCGTCGGACAGTTATTTATAAAAATAATGTCAAAAATAGGGAAAGGGAGAAGTACTGGACAAGTCAATAAATATACAGGACGTCCCGGCTAATGCGGCCAGTTAGCCTTGAACCTCATGGATAGGGGCAGATTTTGTTGGGAAGTAACTTTAGCCTTTAGCCATAAAGATGCCTCCTCTCCTCTTTCTTTTGCGTTTGCTAAATCCACTTGTCCACTCAATTTTGATCTATGACAGATACTAGCGTCACACTACAGTTTGCTCAGTTAAGCGTGGGTTGTTTCAACACTGACGTTTCCGCGCTTGACCAAATGTTAATGAACTGCTGCATCTTTCCATTAAACATTTCGATAGTAAACTGATGTTTTAACTTTCTGTCTCCAACATTGCAATGTAATTTTCTAAGTTGTCTAAACTAGACAATTAAAATATGCTGTAAAAAGTGTAGGTTGATAACTATTTTATTTTGGCTGGAAATAATTTACTGCTGGTTTTGTCTGACCAGAGAACTGCACAATTTTGCACTGAAAACCCTAATAAGTTGACTGAACTAAATTAATTGAGTAAACTCGTTGCCTCAATTTAATTGAGTAATGGAGTCTCCCCAAACTTACATATTTAGGTTTATTTAACTCACTATATTTAGTACTTATAATTTAGTACTTATTTAGTACTTATTTAGTACTTAAATAAACGTAAATTTGCAAGTTTTGGGAGACTCCATTACTCAATTAAATTGAGGCAACGAGTTTACTCAATTGATTTAGTTTAGTCAACTTATTAGGGTTTTCAGTTTGTGTGTGTGTGTGTGTGTGTGTGTGTGAATTATATAAAAATGTTTCAATATGAACATACAATAAATGAAAAAATGTTTAAATAAATTCAAAACAAAAAATAAGTAGCCATTTATTCACATTATGATGAATAATTATACCTAAAGCCATTTGTTTTCTGGACCTTGTACTTTTTTGCACATACTGTATGTCACACATATTAGACTTTTGCAGTCAAGACTACATTTGTGAAAATGACCTATTTTTTTTCAAAGGATTAATTATGATTTTGAGCTCACTACAGTTGAAATCTTAAGTTTATGCATTTTCATGGTACATAAGTAAAATTAACTCATATTTTTACGTAATGGGACCAAAATGCAAATTTTTTATTCAGTCAACTTTACTTAATTGTTTAAGTAAAGACAACATTAGGGTTTACAGTGTGCAACTGACGCAGTAGAATTGTGTAAAGTGAGATCCGATACAGCATGTGTAATCCTTGCTCTATTTTAAGTGAATACAAATGGAGGGTGTTCGGTTTCTGGGTTTTTGGAGTCGACTCTGATTCTTGTCTCTTAATTTTGGAGTCGGCGGAATTGACTCCGGAGTCGACTCCAAAAAACCTGGAACCGACCATCCCTAATTTCAACCCACATTTAAATTAATTACATTTGAATTCAAATTAAATGATATTGGAAGAATTAACCCAGCATTATTTTTTGCCCAAATTTGAGATGGAAAAACCGTGTATTTTCTTTGCGTATAATAAATGTGATTAGCACCTGAAAAAACAAACAAACAAACAACATAAAACACACGTTCATTTGTATTTTTTAAACCTAATTTGTGTCCAAGGATATTATTTACACTTATCTGTTTATAACACATTTATAACACAAACACATTTGTGTTTCTGTTGTCCCTCACAGAGCCTCCTCTCAGCAGTTTGAGCCCACCACGATCGTCTTCACCCCTGTACAACATATTAATCACTGCAGGATGCACAGTGGTGGGCATCCTGCTGGTCTTCATCATTGTTGCTATCATCAGTGTCTCTTGTAGGAAAGCAAAGCACAAAAGGCAAGTATGATCAATTTACAGAACAATTTATTTTACAATAACTTTTTATAACAGCCAATGTCAGAATGTTGACACAAAATGTACAACCATTAACAAAATGGCACATTTTCTTCACTTCCTGTCCTCCCAAAATGTACACGACACAGTACACAAGTCAAAATGCATGTCACAAGTCAGTATACAGTATGCAAATTAAAGATACTTTACTCATTGAACTAAAATCACCTGTTCAAAATAACATTAACATCTAATTAACAGCGTTTCAAAATGCAACTCACTCACTTCTACTGAAATAAGTGTATTGATTTAAATAAAATTATGTACTGATCAACTGATACAAGCGCTCAAAATAATAACAATTGTTGCATTACTGATGATGTACAGTATTACATGTTTAGATGAAGAATTGGTGTGACTTAGGGCTGCATGATATCGAAAAAACTGGCATTGCAATATTTTGTTGTTCTACGATTATGTATATTGCGATGTGATTATAATTTCACAATATGACTTCAGGAGCTATTTAGAAAAGCCTTCATAGTTTTACATTGGTTGGGATGATTTGTAGGGGAGCACATCTGGATAAAATAATCACAATTATCCAAAGGATCCCATGACTACATCTTTGGGCTCACCACAGAGATGTGTTCTTTCTCCTCTCTTTAATCCTATACACAGATATGTGTCGTAGTCACTTTAAAAATCGGTACATTCTTAAGTTTACCGATGACACCATTATTGTAAGTGTGTTGGTGAGGAGGGAGAACATTTACCGGTTGTTGAGTATTTTACAAATTAGTGTCGGGAGGCTTGTCTACAGCTGAACACAGAAAAAACAAAGGAGATGTGCATTGATCTGCGGTGGAAGCAGGAAGTAGTTTTAGATATGGTTGATAGCTGTAGCTACCTGCCGGTTATTAAAACAGTCCATGCTTCCCAAATACTGATGTCCATGCATTTAGTTTATTGAACACCATGAAAACTAAAGGATAAACAAACAAGCAAACCAAATGTTTTACACAAACACAATCAAAATTACATCAAAATAAACCAATAATATACAAACTATGTTTCATTTACCGTGCTGGCCTGATAACCAGCAGTAAAATAAGCAGGAGCATTTAACAGGTGCCTGCATTGAGGTCTCACTATGCTGTCCATACAAACTCTCGCAGGGTAAATCAATCAAAGAGGATCATGTGACCTCTGACTCAAGCCAACCAGAAACAAGGAAATTACATAAACCAATATGTTTTCCAAATAATGAATCAAAAATACAAGCTGACCGGTAAACGATCGCTACAATAAACACCAGATTGAATTAGTCGAAAGTTATAAGTACCTAAGTACTGTTATTGATAATAAATTAAATTTGAATAAAAATACTGACTATATCGGACAGGCCAACAAAGACTTTACTGTCTGCAAACATTAGTGATGTTTAATATTGAAGGACTCTGATGGTGGCGTTTCGTAAGGTCTGTGTAGAATCCATTTGAACTTTTCATCAATTTGTTGGCTTGCTTCTTTAACGGGCCATGCAAGGTGTTTTCACACCTTTAGTTTGGGAAAAAGTCTGGAAAGTGCAGTGTGACTATTGCAGATTCAAACATTGCGATATCAGTGCTGAAACGATATATTGTGCAGCCCTAGTGACTATTAAATGTGATTTCACAAGGAAACAAGCAAAACGTTCCCCTTCATCTTTCATTTTGGGGGAACTGTATATTTAAGAATTGATTTGTGCAATAGGAATAGTTTGGATATGATGCATTTGCATTATTGTATTTCTTCTACACCATCATCACTTGGTTTTCATGGCATTATATAATTGTGTTTTACACAGGTGACTTTTAACCCAGTGTCCCAGGATGACGATAGTGCAGCCAGCAGTAGTACTGTTGTATGAACGTGGAGAAATGATTTTAGATGCCCGTATCAACTATTGCTGGGGGAAAAAAAGAGGATCATCTGATAGAATATTTTCCTGACATTCTCAAGCCATTCTCTACCTATTTAAATAGCACATATACTCTTTAAAATGACTATTTTATTGAATTTTTTTTTTGGCAATGATGCCATAGAGAAAACTGATTGGTTCGCTGAAGAAACTGTCAGTTAAACCAACATAGGCTCATTCTGAAAACGTAGTCAGGCAGTTGAAACCGTCCTCCTTGTGGATTTATGTGAGAACAGCAGGCACGAATGGCACAGAAATTCGAGATCTAAAAAAGCATACACATCGACTACTGGTGGATTCCAGAAAACAATAAAAACTGCAAAAAAATAAAAATAAAAACAAAGCTCCTGGGTGTAATGAATCGTCACCGAGATTGGGATCCATCGTGCAGTTTATTATTATCACAGTAATCAATAGTGATGTGACGTTGTGCGCCGAGGCTTCGAAGCATGTATCAAAAAAACGATACATCTCGCAGTGAAGCAGTGTACCGGAGCTTGATTCGTTTTGCCATCATCACGTGATCAGTGACGTCCGAAGCTTCATTTTCGCCTTTACCCATGTGACTGCTTCGAATTTTGATTCAAAGGTTTAAACACCCTCATAGTAAAGTGTATAGCGAGAGAATTGGCGTCTATTACATACATTTGTTTCAAAGCACTGCACCAGTCCCACACACCAGTAATTAAACTAAACTACAATAGTATTTTTTAGTAAAAAGGTTTTGAACAATACTAAAGTGTATTAGCGTATTTTTTTTATGACTATCTTTAAAGAAAACCACTGCATATCGTAGTATTGTGTTTCACAGAGAGGATCTGGTGAATGCCACCCTGAAGCATCGTTCATATAGCGTCCTCCTAGAGCACTCGCCTCCCAATTAGGATTCGCTGGTTCGATCCCTGCTTGGAGCGGGACTAATTGTATTATGATAAACTTTTGAATACCTTGGATTTTACTAAAATCATCAGTTGTGTAATGTAATATATCTTGTGTAAAAACTACAGTAATTGAGTAATTTGTTTATATTGCTGTTGTTGTATTACTACATGAATGAGTTGGTCAGTTGTGAACATTTGACATTATGGCAACACAGTGCTTTCCCACACTTTCACCAGAAGAGGTCCTCATCGAGCTCTGATTTAGAAAGCTTCGAGTAACGAACCTTTTTCCGATACAATTGAGTCGAGCGCTTCACTGGTTCAGAAAGCTTCATTTCACCATCAGTAGTAATCAAACAACGGCAGAGTAACAGAATCGTGGTCATAAACAGGCAAATGGTCAGGGCTGGCAGCAAGGGATCGGAGACGGTAAACAGGGAAGGTCACAACAGGAAAATCAAAGTAGTGTATAAACGCTCAGAAATGTCAACTAGTGGCAAACAAGACTTCGCAAAGAATGAAACAAACCAGTCTGCTTAAATAGATGGCGGAGTGATTTCAGCTGTGCCCGTAATCAAACAGATACGGGGTAGATGGGAAATGTAGTGAGGGAACTGTCAGTTAATAATGAGGTGATGGTGCCCTCTGCTGGTTAGAGAAGGGAATCACGGAGTTTGTCTCTGTGACACTGCGACTTATTTGGTGCTCTCCAGAAATGTGTATATGAGGGTACATTTTCAGAATGAGCCTGGGTTCAGTTAAACTGTTGTTTTATAGGGAGTTGGGCGTGGAGTATACATCCATTTGGGATGCATCCTTAATTTTTGTACATCTAATTTAACAGGTGCTCATTTTAATGATAATTTTGTATTCACAAGATCACGAATCTGCCGTTTGATCCTTTATTATTAATTCAGCATTATTATTATTTTATTATTGTTATTATGGGTCCAAGACAAGCACAAGGTTTGTTCACTAGAGGGAGCTAAACGATAATGAATTACACACAGTATATCCCCTTTGTTGAATCCCCTTTGTTTTTATAATTAATGTTTACTTAATATAGTGATTATTATTTATTTAAATACTTTATTTTCTTTTTTAACGATAATTTAAAAGCATGTTTTCCTGATGTGTTAAATTACCTTACAGAGAAATATGTTTAATTATTAACAGAACTTCACAATAACATTATTTATTTTATGTTAGTAAGAAAATGCCTAAGTTACTGTGAATTTCTTCCCTAAATGCTTTATTTTGCATTGTGATTATTATTAATATATATTATTATTGTTTACTAAAATATGTATTATGTTTTTATTAAAGCACTTTTTATATTTATTTGTATTAAGCATTCCTAGAGATACAGTAACAAAATCTTTAAAAACCTTTCAACAGTTTATAAGCATAAGTCCATCACTATTTTAGATTTTGCATCAATAATAAGCTAATTTAGACAGATATTTCCTCCTTTTTGGCAGCATGTATTTTATAAAACTCTTTCATCAACCCTTAACTTTTCACTGGAGATTTTTTTGTGAGTGATACATATTTGTTATTTATGCATAGGTTAAAAATGGACTTTATTTTGTGCAATTTTGCAAAATGAACCAAACATCCTGTTGTTTTGCATTTGAGGTGTTGAATTTATGTAATGCATGAATTTATTTATCATGTTTTCTTTTTTTTCTTTTTTTTTTACATATTCATGTTCAAATATATAGACAGAAAACATGAATAAAGATCAAATAAAACACATTCTCACATTCTGTCATTTCCGTTTCTTGTGTGTGTTTGCTAAACTGTTTATTGTGATTAAATCCATATTAAATGTCTCACAAAGCTGTTAACCACTTGAAAACCCACTAATACACAAAGATATAGATGTACAAAAACATTTTATGCATGTTGTATAATATAAAATCCAGCTTAGTTATACCATGGGTAATCCTTCTTAAAGTATATTTCTAGCTGATAACAAACTTCCTAACCTAATTCTAACCTAATTAATGGGTGTCCTGGTGGCACAGTGGGTAGCATGAGCGCTTACAGCAAGAAGATCACTGGTTCAAGCCTCGGCTGGGTCAGTCGACATTTCTGAATGGAGTTTGCATGTTTTCCCGTGTTGGCATGGGTCTCCTCTCTTTGTTTCCCCCACAAATCCAAAGAAATGCGCTATAGAGTAATTGGATAAGCTAAATTGTTCATAGGGAATGAGAGTGTATGGATGTTTCCCAGTGATAGGTTGCAGCTGGAAGGGCAACCGCTGTGTAAAATGTGCTGGATAAGTTGACAGTTCATTCCGCTGTGGCGACCCCAGATTAGTAAAAAGACTAAGCCGAAAACAAAATGAATGAGAGAATTCTTGTTAATTATTTAATTAAATGTGTACTGTTTCAATAGGTTTTATTCACTTAAACATAAAAAAATAACAATTGTATGGTGAATTAGTTATTCATTCATTCATTTTCTTGTCTGCTTAGTCCCTTTATTAATCTGGG